AGAAACCCCCGGCGCGGCGGTCGGCATGCAACACATACTAGCGCCTACAAGACTGCATGAATACTTTACGCATCGCATCTTCGCGTCAAAGACAGTGCGGTCGCTGCGGTCAGCAGCGGGCGGCGTGAAACGCATAGCGCCTTCAAGACTGCATGAATATTTCACGCATTGCGCCAAACACAGTACGGTCAGCGCGGCGCGGTGACTGAAGTTAAAATTATTTAACCACATTTATGTTTGTTCTTTCATAAAATTTTCGTTCATATCATATGTATGGAAAGCCTTGTCCATACTTAACTTTCGCGCCAAGTTCCGTGAACTTTTGCTAGTGGTGTTGACAGGGCTTTCACAAAAATTGTGTCCAACACGAGAAAACGTGTTTTATGCACCCCTCCCCCTCCGGCACATTAACTTGGTGGTTTTTATTGATATTTTAAAACGAATGAGAAGGAGGCGGCAAAATACAGGCGGCCCATGAGTGGCAAGTAAGTAAAATCGGCCCTGTTACCAGGGCATAATATTCCATGCTTTATTGAATACAACACTGCTTTTTAAACCAAGGTCCCGCGCCGACCTGCCGCTGAATTATTTCAGAACGTTTTTTTCACAATCATTTTATTATTTTATTTGTTCTCATTTCTCCTCGTTTTTTTGCGTAAAATAAGCGGTACATCAAAGTAGTCATTGAGAATTATCTAATCTTCTCAGGCATCGCAAATATGCTGGCCGAAAGCGCAGAACGCTTGAGACGAAGCTGTCATAAAGGTTAAAAATGCCCGCTTAGCGGCGGGCAATAAACAGTGATGCCATTTTTTCTGATTTTCATAGAAGAAGCAGGTGGAATAGGTAAATTTTGGTCATTTTTCGATGGAATTTTCTGTCTCTTTCTCTCAAAGGCAACACTGACAATTTAGAAACGCGCAAAAATGGCAGGAATGAGTCTTGGGAGGGCAAGTTATAGCGTTTCGAGGTGCTACAACGCGTGCATGCTAAAGGTGACGCTTTTACAGGATGTCTTTGACGCGCCTGTGCATCTGATCTGCTAGTTTCATCTTGCTTAAGTGATGCAAAAAATAACATTTAATTAAAGAATGCGCTCAGTTGCGTTGACAGTCAATTACGGTTGTGACTCATTTAGAATATGTTCGCACGGTTAGATTGTATGGTGGATTTTAATTTCGGGCCACATCAAGAAAATTGTACCTCGGATTTCACTCCGAGATTTTTAACAGAGGAAAATACATTAGTATTTCCATAAATGGACGTATTTCCGTAAAACGGAACTATGTGCATTATGACTTGAGCCCTGTCATGAATATATTCTGCCATGCTAAGGAAAAACGCCTTATGAGCCTCTAAGCGATGCTAAATTCCTTTGATAAATCACGAATTCACGGGAATATTTAAAAACATTTTTCTTGCAATCTTTCAGAGAATTTTGTTCGTGATTTGATCCAAATAGTGTAAAAATTTCAAGGAAAAATATTGATAACTTTTCTCCAAAATAAACATTTTATCGGAGGAAATTTTGCAACTCTCGAATGTTTATAAGGCGTTTTCCCTCAGCACGACAGTATTCTTTTGGGTTTCAGGGCTTATGTCTTAATGCACTTAGCCCCGTTCGGCAGAAATACGTCCTAATATTTGTCATTGTTGCGGTTTTACACACGAGTAATTAAACGAAGACGGAGTGAGGTGACTTTATATTATGAGTGATGGACATATCGATATTTCGTGAGGCAAGCTGCCTCATCAAGAATCGATTGTTTTACATACATCTAAATAGAGAAAAATTACTCAACAGTGTTGCCAACTTTCAAAGAATGCCACTGACTATGACGTCACCGCCGAAACCATAGACCGGAGAAGGGCTAAAACCCGCACTCGATGACACTGTTATTTTCTCGACCATCGATGCTCCGCGCCTGAGTGCACACATTATTTCGTCGCCATCCTGACGTAAGGACGTAACTTTACTTAGCGATGAACCTTGTAATCTATATCACTCAATACTTTCCAGGGCTCATGTCTAAGTGGAGTTACGCCGTTATGTCAGCCGAGTGTCAATTTGATATGATAACTACCGGTATATGAGTATCAATTTGTTCTCCTCTTCGGCGTGGCCCCCTGATGCCCTCGCTCAGCGCACAATCAGAGGCATTGAAGCTTGATCGATGAATAACATGAGTAACCTGGATTCGATCGCAATGATGCGAAACTTCCCAACTTATTGAAAGTAACGCAATTTGACTTCGGCATTGTAAATTTGCGTCTGTCTCCTTGAAAAAACACCTCAGTTCGTCGTTTCTTTTACGAAAGAACATAACTACATTTCAATTTTGCTAAGACCCCGTAATTTGCATTTTTACCAAGAGAATCTTTGGTCATTCCTATTGAAAATTTCACAGATTTTTCTCCTGATCTCATGCATAAATCACGAAAATTTTCAAAAAAAACTGCACTGGTACTATCTCGTAAAATTTTGAATGTAATTGAAGTTTGAATTTTAGTAAATTTTGCAATCTTGGCATGGAGTAACATTTCTTCTTCCAAAGAGGGATGAGTTTATGAAGACATTTTAAGAGAGCGAATTTTGCCATCTCGGATTGAACGGAGTTCCATCTTGACTTCTTTCGAGGTTTGCAACTGAATTCGCAGAAGAGAAAGAACTTGTGCAAATCCCTTCACTAATTTTCGTTGTCAACTCCGTGGGGACGTGGTTCCGATCGCAAAAACGCCTTCAGTTAGGCAGCTACGCAACACGCCCGACAGGGAAACACGAATAGTTGTATTATTGTTTTGATAAATTCGTTGACTCCAACCTTAAAGTAAAACAATTTTCGCAACATATTATAATCTAACCGCAGCGAGATCGCATGACTTCTAAGAGATCCAATTGCCGAAAGCGAATCATATCACTCTTTTCGGATCGTATCCCAAAATTTTGGACTAACGAATTATTTTTGAAGAAATCCTTTGAACACATCAAAGAAAATGACTAGGCCCCCTAAGTCAACCATTTCTTCAATTTTCGTCAAAATTGCGTTGGTTCTCTCCTGTAAAATGCTAATCCAATTTCTACCACTAAAGTAACATTTTGACTATACCCAAAAAACGAGGTTGTTCCGGGAATCCGCAAGAGTAGGTAACGATCCTTTCTCTGCGAATGTCGGAAAATAATAATCAGAATCACCGCTTCTAGTTCTTCAGTACATGCCATGTGCAAATGCAGTTCAATACCACTACGTAATACACACGTAGCAATTATGCGTGCACGCGTGCCCCCCAATCGATATCTCGCTCGTGCATGCTCGCCTAGCTCCCGACGCCGACGAGGTCAGCGGAGTTGACCCCCGATCCCGCAGGAATTCGTGTTCGCTGACAGGATCAGTGTGATCCGGGATCATCGATCATAGCCGTGACGTAATCCCGCGATTGTCAGAGGCGCGGGCCCACCGAGCAGCTTCGTTAGTGCAACCTGGAATGCATTCGGGGTCCTCGCCACTAAAACATAACATCTGAATTCTTTCGTGAGCCTTGAAGTATGCAAGATTGCACACATTTCGAGGCTCATCGGAAAATGAGCTTTTCAGGTTTTTAAAATCGACCGAATCATTTCTTATCGCGACTCAGCGCGGAGTAAAAAAGAAAAGAATGTTTTAGTTCAATAACCCATGCGAGTTATGGGACCGGGGAACGGTCGACTCCCCCCTCCCCCACCCTTTGCCGAAGCCTATTCAAAATTTATGTCCGAATATTTTTATTTTGGACTGCATTTTGGTATTTCAACATCTGGAATATGACTTGTTCGTGTATCTGTATAAGGGATTGAATTCATTCGACTGATGAGTTTTGAGTGCTTGTCATTTTTTTGGTCTTTGGGAGGGGGAGGGATAATTTATCGTTGTTGTAAATCAGACGTTCCCGACGCGACGCATCTTTGAGGACAGAAAAATGTGTCGGCGAGTTGCTTCAGAATTTGATATTTTGGTGGTACTCATCAAACGACCGCGATTTTGGAAATGAGTCCCCAAATTTGACAATACCACCAACCAGTGACTTCATTTTGACCATTTAAGTCCATCTCTTCTTTCGTTCGAAAACGTAGGAATTTAAAAAGGATGTCAAAATTTAAAGTTGCAGTTACAGAATAAATTCGTATTTTTAAAATTCGACTCTGTTAGAATTTCTCCATTTTAAGACAGGAACAGTAAGGGAGAAAGGGGATAAAAAACAAATACAAACGAGGAACCAAGATTTCACAAGGGCTAAGAAAGAGCCACCATTCCACCACCTTTATCAACCCTACCAGTGGTGGGGCTCTCCACCACTATTCAATGAACCTTACTTTTCGAAATAATTAATCATGGTAGGGGGTTTAGATACTTCGGAATCTCTTTCCTTCCCGATTTCGCCACTTTTCCCGATCATCGACAAGAAATGATCTCAAACTTTAAATTTTCGCAATTTTGTTTTACCTTGTTTTTTTATTGTCATGAAGTGGTTTTGGAGGGGGACAGATCCCTCCATAAAGGTTGGGCCGCGTATCATCCGCGGGGGAACCCTTAATAACACACGGAGAAAAGAACCTCGTGCGTGGGACCCGAAGTTTAGGTCACATGGATCTCTGAAGTTTTCAGATTAAGCATTTGAACACTTTAGGTCTAGTTGTCGAGGTTTGGATCACACATCTGAAACTTCAGTTCTTACATCTGAATTACTTCAGATTGAAGAACCGTTCGGCTGTGAGAACCGAAGTTTTTCGGATGTGAAAACCGAAGTACTTCAGATGTAAGAACTGAAGTTTCAGATGTGTGATCCAAACCTCAGCAGCTGGACCTTAAGTGTTTAGATGCTCAATCTGAAAACTTCAGAGATCCATGTGACCTAAACTTCGGGTCCCAAGCACGAAGTTTTTTTCTTCATACACGTTTTCTTCAACATTTTTAACAAGAAAATTCGATAAGTCTAACAAAATGTTTTAATTTTGACTGTTGCAGACATCTCGCCAGCAGAATGGCAGCGGAGCACGAGCACGGACCAAAACGACCTCAACTGCTACAGCGTCAAAGACGGCGTCGTCATGTTAGAAACTCTCACGAACCCGCCCCCCGAGGGGGACGACGAATCTAGTCAAAAACGCCGGCGCTCGCGCCTCCTCACCACCTCCCCCACCCCTTCCCCCACGACTTCCACAACCCCCTGGAAGGAGAAACGCAACCCCCTCCTGGAGAAAGTCAAGAACACGAAGCTCTCCTGCTTCAAGTCCTCGCTGAACGTGAACCAGGACTCCGGCTCGCGGGACCAGGACTCCGACTGTCAGAGGTTAATTGACGGCGACGGGGACTCGATCACCGGGGGCGGAGCCGGGGGCGATCTAGTCGAGCGGGCATCTAGTCGGGAGCCGGGACTCCACCAGTCGATACTCAACGAGAACGTGGCCTACGCGCGGGCCCAGGTCTACGAGAAGCGCATGGAGCGGGAGCGGGCCCAGGGCGGCGCCCAGGGCGACCCGCAGTTCAACTCCAGCTCGTGTCTTTCGGCTAAGATTAGGGCTATGTCCGAAAAGTACCTCAAGAACTCCACGAATAAGATTCTTGCTAAGTTGTACAGGAGTACGAATTCGAACAAGGAGCCGCAGAAGAAGGGGACGAAGTTGAGGAGCTTCTCGTACGGCGCGCTCCCCGGGTTGGCGGATTTTCAGAAGAGGCATAATCCGCTGTACCATGAGGATGAAGAGGAGTTTAGTCCGACGTTCAGTCAGGAGAAGGATGGGGAGGACTCGGATTCGGGGATTCTCGTCAATGGTTCCAGTAACTCGTCTGTCGTTGAGGTAATTCATTTTTGTATATCAAGCTTGCATTTTGACGTCGTATTTTTCATGTTTCGCAGGCATTTAGCAATCGCCGGCAATTTGCAAACGTTTTATAAACTTTTTGATAATCAGAAAAGCATAACATTCAAAACCAAAGGAACAATATGAGAGGGCTGACTAGTTTGCGTTCGAGTAGAATAGCATGCCTTCTCCTCCATAAGAAGAATGACAGTGACACAGGAGAGGGTGCAGGAAAATTCGTGATCTGAGTTGGGCTTGGCTCGGATAGGCAACTAAACTAACTCTTCAACAAAGCGTAGGGTATCAAGGAAAATTGAAGGCGCTCTAGACTGATACCGTGATACAGATGAAACCTTCGTTATGCATGCCGATACAAATTACCGCGATTTATCGAACAAAAACCGCTTTCATTGCCGCCCGCGATTGCCAACTGCCAGCCAAAAATGTGTTGAATTTTTGCTATAATTTACTGCATCCGCCAAAGTAACATGTGGCAATGGGTGTGCATGTTAAAAATCCAGGAGTGAAATTTAGTGCCGGAGTCTACATAGTGCCCAAAAACCTCGAGTGATATGCGAAGTGAAAAAGCACCAAAACTGCCGTGCTAAGTAAGAATGCCGTATAAACGCCCATATGAGCCATTTGGCATTGCCAGATTTCCTTCGACAAATTACAAACTATGGACATTTTCGAGGAAAATTTCGCCGATTTTTCAGAAGATTTTGTTCGTAATTTGATCTAAAAAGTCTGCAAATTTTAAGAAACAATATTCGTTACTTTCTTCAAAAATTGATATTTTAGAAGAGGGAATTTGATATCATTCGAATGTTTATACGTCATTTTCACTTTGCACGACAGAAAAACGCATCACACTCAGCAAAAGGAGTAAATTCCGCTGCGTAATAGTGTAAGTCACTTCATGCGGAGAATGAACATGCATTCATATCACTCGGGCCTTTCGGGCGGTATATATACTTCGGCACCGAATTTCACTCCAAATTATATCAAAGTATGGTGTCTACGTGGTGTTTTCCCCCCTATTCAACTAAATATCGTTAAACGTCAGGAAGTAACTCCAATTATCTGTCCATTCAGGTGGCTTGGCCGGGCGGGTCAGACAGCGAGTTCGGGTTCAAGAAAGCGGAGCAAGCGCCCTCTAGCAGCCGCGTGGCGAGTCACTCCCAGCGCTACCGGAACCGGGCGTGCCACGCGCGGAGCCTCTCCAACGACGCCTACGAGCCGAGCGCCAAACCGCGGTCCTCCATGTCCCCGCCGCCGGTCCCGACGCCCCCGCCGAGGCAGGACGAGTCTGATAAGAGGGACTTCCGCTTCGTCAAACTGATAAGGAACGAGCCCGGCGAGGAGATGGGCATCTTCATCGCCAAGATCAATTCCAGTCGTGGCAACGGCGGATACGCAATCGCCCACGTCGTCCCCGGAGGCCTCGTCCAAAGGTAACGATATTTTTACACATGTCTAAAGCCTACCAGCGGGCTGAGTATTGAAATTGATAGACAAAACGATAGACAAAGCAAATCAAGGGAGTATAAAGCGATCCTGTTGGTTGAAATGGGTGGTTTCATATAGATTTAGTGAGAACAGATGAACTAACTAAAGGGTCTCTCGTGGGTTGCCGATAGTTCAGGGCGTCTACAAGTCCGGAATTTCCGGAGTCTCTCGTGGGTTGCCGATAGTGCAGGGCATCTACAAGTCCGGAATTTCCGGAAAGTCCGGAAATAGTTCTGATTTTTTAAGGGGGGCCCGGAGGTACTGACAAAATGCGGAAATTCCGCAAAAGGTTTGGAATTTTTTTAATTTTTGGTCTTGTTTGACTCAATTTGAGCGAGAACTTCAAATTTTTTTAAATTTTTCGAATTTCGTCAAATAGAAGTACTGAAAAAGTCCTCTTTTTTGAGATTCAACGCTCACATGCGCCTAATGACGACTTAAGGCCAAAGAGTTAAGCAATTGTTTTAGCGATCTTGAACTAATTTGCAAAAACTTTCGTTGCTCACTCTGACATTCATCACTCATCATTGGCTAATTTCATTTGATGTCTTGCACTTTTTGACATTGACAATTTTTCATCTCGAAATTGAAGGTAGTTCGTATGGACAGACACCTAATCAAAAATCGTGCACAGGCTGGCAAATGGTGAAGTCTGGAGCATCAACCGATTTCACTTACGATTTGCCTTGCAAATGTCTCTACTTAGTTATTAGCAAGCACGCAAAATGAAGTAACGTAAGAGGAAGTGAGTGAAGTCTAGTCTACAAGCGAGACATTGCCCTCAGGTTTCCGTCACTCGAAGTGAACGTCCGCTGCACTCACTGTCATGGTCAAATAATTGACTCTCGTAGTTAGGTTAACTCGTCAGATCCGTCAATTATCAGATCAATTATCAATTATCAGTCGGATCTGTAAGCTTGAGACGGGCCATGCGGTCTCACTTTCATGTGGACGTCTTTAAATTGGAAGGAACTATATCTATTCTGACATGAGCCCTGAGATCCATAAGATACATGCATGGTAAGGCTCATGTCGCCATGGATATAGTTCCTTTTAATTTAAAGCGTCCATGTGTAACTCATACAAACGGCGCGGCATTTATAGCTTCATCAATGGAAATCACCAAGCCCAATTACCTCCTCGTTCAGTTATGTGGGTTCTGGATTCATACAGCCGATCGATGCTTCTATTCACTATGGGTTGATTAAATAAAAAATCTGAAACAGCTGTGAAATAGTTTGACATTTTGACCTGTCATTCAGACGGACAGTCCCCACACGCTCTTTCAGTCTACTGTCGTTTTGATTTTTTCGAGGTGTGAAACGCTACTTTCAAAAGAAAAAAATGTTTATCACTGTGTTAGTGGTGAGGTATAAACTGTAATCAAAGCCTTTAATCTCTATGAGTTAGAATTTGCACCAGTGACTGAAGTACTAAACTTTTGCGTGGACTATACGACAAAATCAATGCAGTTTTAAACGCGGACACCGGAAAACATTAAAATGAAATTCAAACCGTTTAAAAGGAATTGGATGAGAATTTTTCACGTAAAAAGGTATGTAAATCGTAATTAGATTTGTTTTAAGAAAGCTAAAAACCTGTTGAAATTCTCCGCCAAATCCGTGAAAAGGGACCTTATCTTTCCTGAGAAAATTACCTTAACTTTTCGCGAAAAAATTACCTTAACTTTTCGTGAAAAAATTCCCTTAGCTTTCCGCAGAGACTTAGACTATGATTATCTACAACCTTAAAGTTTTTGTCTAGGAACTTTAGGATTCAATCTTCGCTCGATTTTTTGATCAAACTTGCGAGGTAAAATTAAAATCAGCGAGAAGAAGAAGGAAACTGAAAGGGTGAAGTACGCCTCTGTGTCCCCTAAGTTAATAATTTAAACCGATCTGGAATATTTTTTCTAAATCCACTTTTGTTGCTCAATCTGTAAACGCAGATACCATCAGAAAATGCAGCGTGAATGAAGAGCGCGGTTGAATTTCGATTAATTCTGCCTTAAATTGCAACTCTGATTAGCACTGAACTTGAACTACAAAAACCAGGGGCGTCAGTGGACTTATTGAGCGTTAGCCGACATAGTTGCCAAATTCACGATTTTTCCTCACATTTTGAAGGCGGTATTTAGAATATTCACAAGGATGCGACAACGTGGACATAGACGAACCTCAGAGAAAGAAAGGGATTACGAGAAATAGGTCGGAATAAATGTGACCTAACGCTGAACCGTGTGCATCGGACGGTGAACATTGTACACGTTGATGATACGTTCTGCCAACAACAGTGGAAAGGGGGGCGGGGTGGTAAAGAGATCGCACGGTGTGACTTTACACATAAATCAGCGGCCGGATGAAAAATAATTTATGACATAATTAACACGTAGACATTAGGTAAATCGAGAGACACCGCCCCACCTAATCCCACTTTGTTAGCGCGCGAAATTTATTCCCGGGCTCCGTTTCGGAATGTTGCCGATTCGTTGGAATCCTGTGGTCTAGGATTTAGACCAATAGCGAGAGATAATTTCAGTGTTCAAACAGCATTAAAAATACGAATTTGAAATACGCAAGGCACCTTGTCCGATTTTAAACCCTTACCCACCTCAGAACGCCCTGAAGTAGAAAATTTCATAAAAAATAAGAATTCGAAATTTCATGTGAAATGTTATGATATTTCCCTGTGGAATTTCAGTAATTTGAAAGTTCCCTGTGGAATTTCAGTAATTTGGAATTTCCCTGTGGGATTTCAGTAATTTGAAATTTCTCTGTGGAATTTCAGTAATTTGAAATTTCAGGCTGTTCTTCGTGAAATATCAGAAAATGGACCACTAGACAAGGTACGAATTTCAGCATTCTGATACATGTTTCTTCACCAAAATTTAACGTAGAACACGATGCGCACAACAACAATTACCGAAATCAACTCCTTACGAAGATATTTAATGATTCTTGATGCGTGAATTCAAACCACCCGCTCATGAAAACTCAATGCTCTACGTAATTCACATCGTGCGCTGAACGTTACATCATGACAGTCTCTGCGATATAAAAATCTGGCAACCTCAATCTTGACGCTTTGGCTCAGCTATAGCACATTGCTGATAGTTTGAACAAATACATGGTGGGAAATGAACATTGCTCGATCGAGAAGCTTGCTGAAACCGTTGTAGTGCGCGATTTGACTAACGTAGAGCTTTGAGTTTCTTGTGAGCGGGCAGTTCAAATTCCTCGTAACCAATGTGAAATAAAAACGTTAATATCTTCGTTAGGAGTTGGTTTCAGTAATTTTCGTTGTGTGAATCGTGTTCTACATGAAATTCTGGTTAAGAAACATGTATCAGATCGCTTAAATTCGTACCTTGTCTAGTGGTCCATTGTGGAAATTTCAAGTGAAAAATTACGGGAAACTTCAAGATACCTTGAACGCAAGGCACCTTGTCCGATTTTAAACCCTTACCCACCTCAGAACACCCGGAAATGGAAAATTTCATGAAAAGTAAGAATTCGAAATTTCATGTGAAATGCTATGAAATTTCCATGTGGAATTTCAGTGATTTGAAATTTCCCTGAGGAATTTCAGTAATTTGAAAGTTCCCTGTGGAATTTCAGTGATTTGAAATTTCAGGCTGTTCATTGTGCAATATCAGAAAATCGTGGAAATTCCAAGTGAAAAATTACGTGAAACTTCAAGGGCGATCTCAGCTCAAGACGCCTCGCTTATAGGCTAAAGTCTCCCGATTAAAATGTAGGTGACTCATGATTCGGTCTCCCCTCTCCTCAGAGAAATATTCTTAAAATGACATTGAAAATTCCGCAGTTTTAAGCGGTTTGGTGTATTTATACAATCCCGACAGATTCAGCCTCAAAATGTGTCTAAATTAATTTTCATTTTGAAATAGAAAACACCTTGCACACAACTGCAAAATACGACGGTCATTGTTAACTCAAGCACGCGGAAAAACAAATAGATTTTTTTGTTTATTTTCTTTCCGGAATGAATAGTTTGCATCAATTATTTAAATGACAAGGAACTATGGAGCTTGCAAATATATCTTATATAAATAAATGATTTCGATTGAATGCATCCAAACATAATTTTATTTAGCTCAAAACATGGTACGCATTCGTATGTATGTGTGTTTTGTAAATGAGGGTGAATCTCGGGTAAGAGGATGAAATGAGGACTTTGAAAAAATTAAGAGATTATACCTCCCGAACATAACTCGCATCAGTGTGTACATCTTCGTGTTCATTTGTGTTGATCAATATGAAATTTTTCAAAATTGGTAATTAAAATCGCAAATAAATTCACTTGATTACTAGGATATCATCTCATTTGATTTCGAATGGCGGGCGATGTAAAAATGATAAGATTTACCGCAATGCCGGTCGCAAATCGATCATTTAAACTGGCAACCATGCCAACTGCAATTTTTTCACGGCACGATGCATAACTTGGCGCCGGCCCACGAATCAAACAAATAAACAGCGTCTCGTGCAACTCTGGAATTCGTTGACAAAGCGTCGTCTTGTCTTTCTGAGCTGCGCGTATACACCGCGAGCACCGTTGTCGAACCGCGAAGAATTTCCTGAAACATCGAGCGCAGAACTTATACAAATTGCACGCATTTTTACATGAAATTTGGAAACAAGGAAAACGGTCACACTCTAGCGCAGCGCTCCCAGGGCGGGACTTTCTTTCACACTTGACACGGACCCTGCGATGCAAGGTGTTCAAATCTGTTTGCAGGAAATGATGTCAGTTTGCTCTTTTTCAAAATATCCCTGGTAAAAATTGACAGTAGAATGTGTGTTCCAAAATACTGTAGACCTAAAACCGGCTGTTAGATTTCTAATAGCTTCTGTAGCCGGCTGTACAATTTCTTATAGCCTTTTATAGCCGATGGCGATTAAGCAACAGCCAGACGATAAAGTTTATGCTGAACGTTACTGAATACGGATACTAGGACTTAGTTAGTTTTTGGACTACCGCTCTCTTTTTGTGCCGTAGTATCTTGATTTATCTTGCGAGGAAAGCTCCGTACTTTTGAAGGATGCCTGTCATTCTTAAAATGTTGGAGCGCCTTAAATTTTGTATGATACTGTGCAATACCTCTGGTGTGAAATAGTTGCTTCAGACGCCGTAGCATGCTGCGGCGCGGCGGACGGGCAGAGAGCGCGAAACGCGCATTGGCGCCTACAAACCTAACAGGGATACTTCACGCATTGCGCAATGCGTGAAGTATCCCTGTTAGGTTTGTAGGCGCCAGTGCGTCGCCGCTCCGCTTTGTGCTAGGCTCTAATATTTAATCTCGCGGAGTCAGCGTTCTTCAACCCATGATTTTGAAATGTTTGCACACTCTGTATGGACTATTCTCATTTTAATTGATGAAAAAAAAAAAAATATGTTTTAAAGGAAAATATAATGTGTTTTGCAAATATTAAGGTAGTTCCGTATCACACTTAATGATTTCCAAAGCACACGAAATTCACGTGAATTTCATTGAATTTCACGTGAATGATATTGAGCATGGAGAATAGGTCATACATTTTTCGTAACAAGGAACCCTTGCTCAGATATTCTTCAGGAGGGAAGAACCGAAAGTCGCTAATTTTTAATTTCGTGATGGGTGTCATATCAAATCCGGAGCTTGTTATCGCATCGATTTGGAAAAATTGGCCTTCTAACTCTGGAACCCGGAATTCTTTTTAAATGCCCATTTTTGTGATTCCGCCTTCAATCGGCCTGTTGCACACTTCAGCTAGAGCAAAAAGAGGAGTTGTGTCTTATAGTATCGTTTTTGAAGTGAGAAGCTGAAAAAAACGCATATTTCCTACGCATATTGTGAAGTTAGGAGTGTATTTCTGACTTCTCCAATGCGCTCATCTTGATTTTTGAACTATTTTCTCCAAGAAATAACTCCTCTTTTCGCTCTAGCAGAAAAAGCGACGCCAAGAATGGCACAATTTAGGTCAGCGGGGATTTTTCTGAAACCGGGCCCAAATGATACCTTATAATACCCTAAAACTCTGGTAAAAATTTTAGCTTGAGTATACGCACAGTTTTGGAGAAAATGGGGGGCAAATTTGCCAAATCGCCATCATTCTAGACAGCATTTTTACAGCAAAAAGTCGGGAAAAAAGGACGAAAAAGTTACACCTTTGACGGGTTTTGACTGTAAATGTTCTTATTGAGCCCCTGTGCATATAGCTGTGTTCAATTCCAAAAAATTTGGTCGTACAGTGGTCCAAAATGGGGAGAAATCGTGGACAACTCAGGATTCTTTGTCAAATTTTTAAAAATGGAATCAAAATTGTCGGTTTCCTGCAGTTTTCATGGCTATCAATTTTCTTATCGGTCCTCAATGCATTATATTGTGTTCAGCTTCACAAATTAGGCGGTCGTTTTTGGCGTCGCTCTTTGCAACATGCTCATCATTAATGCTGGAAAATCAGAACAAATACTTCAATCGTCATTCTGTGTTTTCAGGGAGGGATCTCTCCAGGTTGGTGACGAGATCATCAACGTGAACGGACGGCGGCTGCGGGGCCTAACGATGGCGGAAGCGCGGGAGGTGCTGAGCAGCGGCCCGGTGGAGGTGGACCTCGTCGTGGCCCGCAACCCGCCCTCCGCGAATACGTCGCGCTCCTTCGCAAGCCCAGAACGCAACCAGGTGAGCGCCGACTCCATGCCCGAGAGCTCCGTCGATTACGAGAACGTCGTCGTCCAACGGAATTCCACCTGTGACGTCACCGACTCCATCGTCATCAAAGTTCCTAGTCCAAGGTCGGTATCATTCTCTTCAAGTTTTCAACTGAAGTACTTAGATTGCATTTTGCAAAAAGAAACCAAGAGCATTCCAATGCTGCTAGGATTGTGACGCATTCACGTGCTTTGCAATAAAATCACTAAAATCATGAAAAAAATTGAATTTGCAAAGGTAATTTTTGGATTGAATTTATAGCTTATCGGGAGTAAAGATATAACCTATTCAGGTGATCAGTTTATATTTGCAAGGTGAAAAAAGTTGCACGATCTTAGCGACATAGGAATGCTCGTGGTTCTTTTTTGCAAAATGCAGTCCTTTTAATAGTTGTCGTAGTTGTAATTGTTTAATTGGACGGATTGCTGCCAAACGGAGCTACGTGAGCCCTGTTATGCATTTCGTCACCTTCCGGGCAAAGTATCACAAGCGCCATGCGACGTTTAAAAATTTCCGCCGCCATTTTATTTTTTTACAGAGAAATTTCTGGTTGAATTTGTCTGAAAATTTCACTGAATTTTATTGGCAGCACAAAGAAAATTTAGTGAAAGTTTTGGACAGCTTCGTTGAACAATTTCTCTGTAAAAAAATAAAATGGCGGCGGAAATTTTTAAACGTCGCATGGCGCTTGTGATACTTTGCCCGGAAGGTGACGATTTATTCTTATGGGTATCAGGGATCATGTCTTAATGCACATAGTTCCGTTTGGTAGAGATACGCCCAATTGCATTGCAGTGCTTTGAACTTACTCCAATTATATTTTGACCAGTGGCGTGGCGTGAATTGCGATATATCGATCGTTATGCCATGTAAACCTATGGTAAAGAATCGATTATTAAAAGTGTTCGCTGCGAACACCCTGTTTATCGATCTTTTTCCATAGGTTTAAATGGCATAACAATCGATAAATCGCAATTCACGCCACGCCACTGATTTTGACGTTATCTTTAAGTTTTAAACCAATTTTCGCATTCCGTTTAAAAACTCGTTTCAATATACTGTGGTGCTAATTGAAAACGCTGCATGAGCATTCAAATGTTGCAAAATTTACTTTCGGAAATGTTCATTTTGAAATGGGTTATAATGCATATTGAAATTTTTGGACTCTGTAGATCACGTTACGAATGCAGGGTGTCTACAAGTCCGGAAATAGTACCGATTTTAAGGGAGGTCCGGAAGTACTGAAAAAAAGCGGAAATTTCGCAATAGGTCCGGAATTTTTTTCATTTTTTGGTTATTTTTGTCTCAATTTGAGCGAGAAATTGAAATTTTTGAAATTTTTCGAATTTTGTCAAATAAAGGTACTGAAAAAGCACTGAATTTTTCCATAGAGGAGGTACTGAGCTTTTTGGGAATGTACTGAAAAAGTACTCTAAAAGTACTGATTTTTGGCCCGCCTGTTTCAATAGACACCCTGGAACGAAATCTTCTGAGAAATTTGGCAACACCTGTTGGCCTATACGGCATCCTTCCTCAGTACGGCAAGATTTGAAAGATCCAACAAATTTCGGCTCCTCCAGTACATTTTATTCCCATATTTTGTTTGTTTTAAAATTTAAAACTTTTTTTTACTAATATTATCCTTTTTTAATTGCAGTCCGCACGAGTCATGCGTCCGCGACGAAGCGGACACGCCGGGCGTGCGGAAGCGGTTCCAGAAATCGAACAACAGCAACTCGATCAACAACAAACTCCTGAAGAAGGCCATCGCGAGCTACTCCAAGTCCAAGTCCCTGGACGAGTCCGAGGCCGAGGCGGAGGCGGAGTGCATGTCCCTGGGGGCGGCCCGGCCCCCCTCGAGCCCCCAACTGGACTCCCTCTCGGCCTCCACCAACTTCTGCACCCTCCCCCGGAGGCCCCGCTCCACCGTCTGCACCTTCCACACCTTCATCTTCGAGAAGGGACAGGGGAAGAAGGGACTCGGCTTCACCATCGTCGGCGGCAAGGACTCCCCCCGCGGGCCCCTCGGAATCTTCGTCAAGAGCGTTTTGGAGAACGGACAGGCTGCCGTAGATGGCCGACTCAAAGAAGGTTCGTATTTTTTGTATGAAGCTGTTGCTGATCCCTTCTACGGGATCACTTAAGTTTTATGCCAAAAAGAAAACAACAAGAGCAGCAATAGGTCAGTTGCACTGGAAAAAAAAGTCGCTTGAATCTAGCGTCCAGACTCTCGAAAACAACGACAAGAAAAGATACTCTTGATTCGATCGGATTTTTGCTTGAATCAAAAGGAAATCCGCTTAAATTACGAGGTTTGGTTCTTGATTTAAACTAGAATCCGATCGAATCAAGAGTATTTTTTCTTGTCAATGTTTTTAAGAGTCTATGGACTCTAGATCCAAGCGACTTTTTTTCCAGTATGTGCTGGTCACAGAAGTGTGTTTGAGATTCGTGCAAACCGCCATTTCCTAAGTTCAATATTAACCGAGACATCGCCCTGTGAAAAGTTGAGTTTTTGACGTCATCCATCGCGGTTGTGACACCCTTGGTTTCTTCCACCTTGGTTTTATCAGTCAGGGAGACACATATACACAATGGTTACTCTACGTGAAACGCGGATGAATGCAAGGTGGAATAGGTAAACCAAGAGTGTCACTGCCCCGTTGGTTGCTTCCATCTTGGTTTTATCAGTCGGGGAGACACATACACACAATGGTTACTCTACGTGAAACGCGGATGAATGCAAGGTGGAAGAAACCAAGGGTGTCACTGCCCCGTTGGATGACGTCAAAAACCTGACTTTTCAAAGGGCGATATCTCGATTAATGTTGAACGTAGAAAGTTGCGGTTAAGACGGATGTTAATATTTTTTGCTAATTTTCAGGAATCTAGCATCAAAATACAATTCTGTGACCAGCGTAACTGATCCATTTCAATTGCGGGCCTAGGAGCAGCCCGTATTTTATGAGTCATCTCTGATTGGCAGATTCGCCTGGTGCCCACTTTAACGGGCCCAATGACACGGGCGTCATTTCTCATCGGAAATATCTCGATAACATGGAAAAATTTTACGTCGAAGATTTCAGAGATCGATTCGCCAGATTTTACTGAAAAGATTGATGAGTAATGAAAAACACTTTTTTCTCGAAAACACCATGCAGTTCGACCTGGAATTTTGTTTTTCCAAATTGAAGTATGATGGCTCCTGATGTCAAATAATATGAAAGTATTTTCAATGTTCGATTGAAAAGCAATACTCGGTCATGATTTCAAGACTTTGTACGCTAGTTTATCTTTAAGTTTTAAATTAAATGAATCAAATCCCACGTTCAATTTCAAATGAGGATGTTCGTAATTTTCTAGTGTAGCGTTGTCCACTTGCTCATCGAAAATGCATTACTCAAGCACCAAGTAACCCGAGTACCTCGAGTTTAAAGTCGAGTCGGAGATGATGACTAGATGAATTATGCTGCTTACGGAATTATACGACAGAATTATGCAGCCACGCTGAGAGAGGACGCTCTAAGAGCATTCCAATGTTGCAAAATTCACCATGTTAAATCATTTATTCTATTATAAAATATGTGAAAATTGTCTCTTGCAATTTTACAACACAGTAAAAAATCTTAAAAATATTAATTTCTAAGAAACTCGGAAAGATAAATTCGAAATTAATGCACACAAAAATTAATATTATGTTGAGGGAGATTCGGCAATGACGAATGGTCTTTACGGTTTTTTGCCAGTGGACGGTAGTATGTGCCCCGCAGTGGGCCCGGCCGATTATAGCATGAAAATTTACCGCAAAGCATAATAACCGAGTGAGCACATCTCGTCGATTTGCGCCTTACCTCATGTTCCGCTAACATATTAATGCAGGTCATCTCATGCATCATGTATTCTTATTCAGTGGGAAACCCGCGATGATGTCAGTTTTTCACAATACATGAGCTGAGCGTATAACATTGCATTTTGAACCTTCGAGATGGGATTTTGAAAATAAAAATGGATTTTATTTATCCACTAGATTATTGTGACTCCATAATCCGAACGTAACTCCATAACAATATCTTGAGGCTTGTGGATTTAAACGAATTTACGTTGAATGTACGTTCTTTTGACAGAGAAACGACAGTTTATAATGATTCGGCTCTTTCAATCTCATGTTCTGCTCACTGGAAATGCGATTCTCCAGACAGATTTTTAATTTCGTCGTGTCGTTTTTAGGCGATGAAGTGCTTGCAGTGAACGGACAAGTTTGTCATGGACTCACTCACGCAGATGCCGTGTCCCTCTTCAAAAATATCCGAAGCGGCCCGGTCGCCCTTCATGTTTGCCGGAGGACCAGAACCAAAGCAACGTAAGTCTTTCAATGCATTTACCAGTTTCAACAGCACAGTCTAAAACTGCAAAGAAAAGTTTCTCTCTGCTAAAATTAATCCTATAGAAAGTTCCACCTAATTTATTCTTTTTTCATACAAATCTGGCAACATTAAAAGTGAAAATATTCATAAAATCGACCACGTTATCGAGCGGCAGGGCATAACCTTAAACAAATTGCATTTATTTGATTTAAATCCTTCAAATGTACATCGTTGGGCTGTCTTTCGGAGGATTTCTCCATGCAGCCCGTCGATCAGAATTTTCAGACAAACTGAGGAGGGAGGCTTGTGAATTTAAACGACGATTATTCGCATACAATTTATGGCATTCGGTAACTTAATATGCATTTTACGTTTCCCTTTACGACGGCGGGACCGTAGAAGTCAGTTTTGAGTCGCCAAGTTTTATTTTTAAAATGATCGCAAGTTATGCGCTCTTCACTGTTGAATTCTTGGGCTGCGGATCGGCGGGAAATAAAATTACCCGTAAAAGGTCTCTGAACTTTCTCTGAATGGCCTTATCGAAGATTCGCATTCGTCTGTCAAGAAGCAGATGCATCTGTCTTTTGATAGGAGTTCTCAGCATTTTACCAACAAAAAAACTCATTTTTTTGGGAGGGAAAAATAGAAGTAGCAAGGCATAAAAAGTGGAGGAAAGAGAGACAAAGAAATAGGGAGGGGGAAAATGAAATTTGGAGATTAGCGTGTTTTAACAAATAATAATAAATTTGATGATAATATTTTGATAGGACGGTATAGAGGTCAGATATTGGTGGGAATTCGGATCTTGAACGCTGGTAATCTGGACCGGTTATCACTGAGATTTCAAAATAAAGCAGATGCAAAGAGTATTTTCGGATTCGAACCATTCTGACTTATAATAATAATAATGATGATTAATTAATCGCCCTTTAAATTTGCAAGAGACGCTGAAAAATTTCGCATTCCCAAGTAGATTCCCCTAAATTTTAAGCATTCGCGGTTGCCTCAATAGTAAGAGACTTATACCTCAGAGATAAAAGATAATCGCTTTGTATGGTGTATAATCAATTATGTGAAGTATTTCATTATTACCTAAGCTAATGCATCATTCTTTTGATAATGGTTTCGCAAGAACAAAACCATGTACCGAATTGTCTGACTTTCCGGTACTTTTGACCGCGAAGATGACTTAATTTTGGAAAGAGAGTCTTAAGTCATTATGTAAAAGCCACTTTTCATTCCTACTTTCCTTCATGATTGTTAAGTCTCACCGCAAGTTAACGTACGGGTCGCCACAAACGTCCCTTAAGTATTTGTTTAGAAACGACGACCCACTCACAACACTTGTCGGAGAAAGTGACAATAATCTTACCGGTAGTTCAAGCCCATCAGTTTGAGTTGTGGCACTTTTAAAGAACATTAATCCGAAATGACGCAATCCAACGTCTCATTGTCTGTGGAATAGGACCATTAGTACTCTGGTAGCGTCAGCTTTTGTCAGTCTGTAAAAGTTTATTTGTTTCCCTCTCTTTCTTTCATTTTATTTTCTATTTGTTTTGATGGGTTGAATTATTATCTGAAGCTGGTTGATAAATGTTCCTTTTTTAGTCACACATGTTTAAGACGTATCATTTTTATAGTTTCATATCGTTTTAATAATTATTTATTTTATATTTTGTTTCAGGACAAGTAAAGCGCAGTCTTGTGGGGATTTGATTCAAACCGCAAACCCCGATGAAGAATAGTTTCGTGGTTGAGCTCCTGCCAGAATCTCTGGATAGATTTTAGGAGGAGTAGTTTTCCGACCCTCTTTTCTTTCATCAAACTCCGCAAGGAGTTCAAACAAACTCCGGCAGTCCGATCATATTAAAGTGTTGATGACGTATGAAACTCATCAGCGTGTAATTCAGAGATCAATCCGTGAGATTAGGTGAATATCTTGATGAGCGGGCCAACTGGGTTTCTTCCAGCTCACAATCAGTTGACGCACTGTTAATTGAGCTAAAAAGTGTAAATTGAATCTCGTTCTAGATGTGTAATTTAGAAAATTGTAAAGTTAAAGTTTCTTCCGAATTCACTTCGTGCCAAAAGTTGTAAGAAAATTTGTCCAGGTCTATATAGTAGGGTATAGAAAGAGAGACATCGAAACTTAAAGCAGCTTTGACAGCTTTTATTTTTATTCATTGTTTTATCTACTCTCTGATTCTGAAAATTCTTAAAAAATAGAGGCGTCGAAACTTGAAGCAGCTTTGACAGCTCTGAATTGAATATTTTACTGTCTTCCATTTTCAATGTTGCGCCAAATTCGATTTTTATACGAATTATTTTACAGAATTCCTGCAAACATACCATATTTTGTACAATATTTTTATTCATTGTTTTATCTACTCTCTGATTCTTAAAATTTTAAAAAATAGAGACATCGAAACTTAAGGCAGCTTCGACAGCTTTGAATTAAAGATTTCACCATCATCTTCCATTCCCAATGTTACGCTAAATTCGATTTTTATTCGAATTATTTTACAGGATTACTGCAAACATTCCATTTTTGTACACTACTTTTATACATTGTTTTATCTACTCTCCGATTCTTAAAATTCTTTTAGTATCAAATATTTTTATCGATGTGATTTTTACCGGCGTGTCCGTCTCTGGCTCAATTACCCATAAAATTGCATTTTTTGTAATTGTAAAAATTATCATTTCCGTCCCCTTTGTTACTACCTACATTGTTGAATTTACTCTCGTTTACCTTTTAAATATGTTTATGTAATTAAATTCGTTAAATTAAAAATTTCATTTATTTCTATTTTCCTATTCGCCCTAAAATTCACTGCACCCCAAATCAATTGTGTATGCACTGAGTAGCGGTTTAAAATTAATGAATCTTTCTCAGTAGCTCATCGTATTGATTTCATATGTCAAGGATGATAACGATAGCTCAGGCGCCTGGCTGCTAAAAATTGAGGTCAGCAGGAATTTTGGATACACACAGGGTTGCTGCATGGCGTTCTGGAAAACCGAGAAGGTCAGGGAAAGCCAGGGAATTAGCAGAAAAAGTCAGGGAATTTCATGAGATGGGTTTATGAGAAGTGAGTGTAATTTACAGGAGGGAAAATCAAAGTGGATTGAATTCGAATGTCTTGGAAAGCAGAAAATCCGAAAATTTTCGAGTTAGGAAAAAGCAAAAATAGTCAGGGAAATTTGGGTAATCTGATGGTGAAGAAATTACGGCAATCCTACACACAGCTATTTCTTTCACTTACACTATGGGCTTCATTAAATTGCCTCAAACAATAGGACCGCTTCATTTCTCCTTTGTGTTATTTCTTAATATCTTCGTCTATCAAATTTAATAATCAGCCTGCAGTTCTCTTACACCCCAGTGCTTACAAGAGGCGATCTTCTTGAGAATCCTGTGCTTTTCAACCGAACTCGTCAAAGTTGTCTTGGGTAGTTTCATTATCCCCACGTCAACATTGACTCCAAGAGAGTGTATTTCTATTGACGACTGCACTGCAACAAACTATAGCTTTGTCTACAGCTTTGTCTATAATTTTGTTTATAGCTTTGTCCATAGCTATGTTTATAGCTATGTCTATCAAATTCAATAATCAGCCTGCAGTTCTCTTATTATACCTCTGTGCTTTTCAACCGAATTTATCTAGTCTAAGTTGTTGTCTTGGGTAGTTTCATTATCCCCACGACAACATTGACTCCACGAGAGTGTATTTCTATTGACGACTTGAGTGCAACTAACCACGGGAGCACGCATGCGCGAAGTGGGTCGTCGAATTTACATAACCCGCATCGGAGTCGATGGAGCTGGTCGGGCGGAGCTTTGTTTTCCTAGACCAGAGAACAATCCGATGTCGCGTTGCCCATTGCGTCCGTCCGTCCGTTTCGGATTCCACTTCTCTTTCCTCCGCGGCTCATTGTCGCTTCATTTGCTTACGAGCTTACGCCATTAAGGCATTAAGCTAAAAGGGCCACCGTGTTCTCCAAACCGCAGCTTTTAAAAGCCGCGCCGAGTCGCAAGCACGCGTCTCCATCCTCGGCATCACGCTCGAGAGCTTTGTCTCCGATCCTGGAGATGTTGCCAGCGCACACAAAATGGACGGATTTAAACGGAATCCGCTTCGAAAAAGAAAGTTCGGTCATGAGAACCGAACGTTCAGTGTTCCATATCATACCGACTATTCGGTTTATCAAACCAAACCTAAAATGCCAACACTGGAAAAAAACACATTGGATCTATAGAGTCCAGACTCTTGAAAACATCGACAAGAAAACGGACTCTTGATTCAATCAGATTTAAGCTTAAATCTGATTGAATCAAGAGTTTGTTTTTCCTGTCGATGTTTTTAAGAGTCTGGACTCTAGATCCAATGTGTTTTTTTCCAGTGAATAGTTACCATGGCATTAATTATACCTAACCTTCCAAAGACTCCAAGTTTCCCAGCTTCACTAACAATTAAATGAGACACAATGCCGAAGCCTGGTAAAATAAGGACATAGACCTCTGGATGACCAAAAAACCAAAATAAGTGCTGATATAAAATAGGATCACCCCCTCCCAAGGGGTCATAAAAAGATCTATTGAAGTTTGGATCCTTTGATGAATTGATACATATTTTTTCCCCATCAATTTAAATGAGAATAATCAATGCAGAGTGTGCTAACATTTCAAAATCATGAGTTAAAAAACGCTGACTATGCGAGTACAAATATTAAAGCCGAACAGAGCGGAACGGCGTGCTGCCAGCGCGAGAGGCTCACTGGCGCCTACAAACCTAAGTGGATACTTCACGCATAACGCAAAGCGTGAAGTATCCAGTTAGGTTCGTAAGGGGCTACTTCACGGATTGCGCAATGCGTGAAATATCCACTTAGGTTTGTAGGCGCCAGTGAGCCTCTCGCGCTGGCAGCACGCCCGCCGTGCGGCGGCGCCTGAAGCAGCTATTTTACAACAGAGGTATTGCACAGTATTATACGAAATTGAACGTATTAAGAATGACAGGCATCCTGTAAAAGTACAGATCTTTCCTCGCAAAATAAATCAAGATACTTATCGTACACAGGAAAAATCTAACAGCCTTTAGCTGAGGCAAATATAGAGGTTCATCCGGTTCAGGTATAACAAGGTGGGCATTTCTTGAAAGATAATTAAGTCTTGTTACACCAAAGGGGTGTAGAGAATTTTAGTGAATTTTGTCTCATGGAATTGACGCTCCCTCATTTTTACCAAAACTCTCAACTATATATTATTCTCCGTTGGACCAAACAGACAAAACAAAAAAAAACAAGCAAGCCCTCATTCTTCCAAGACATTACCTATATATTTGCATCCAAAAACGTCGTCAGCAATTGTCATTTGTATTTACAAGTGGGCCAATTAACTTTGGGTCTCAACTGGCACGTGGATCAAAACTTCCGTGCCGAAAAAACGCGTGGACGTAAATTACTGGAAAAAACAGGTGCGCGGACAAAAAATCGTTGACGAAATGTCCTATAACCATTTGCTTCGCCCTGTGGAGAAAATTCACTGAAATTTGCACGAAAATCCGCACAACCGTTTTCATGTAAAAAACTTAATCGCCCAATTAAATTTGGCAATGGACCACTAGATAAGGTACGAATTTCAGCATTCTGATACATGTTTCTTAACCAAAATTTTACGTAAAACACGATGCACACAACGAAAATTACCGAAATTAACTCCTTACGAAGATATTTAATGATTCTTAATGCGTGAATTCAAACCACCCGCTCATGAAAACACAATGCTCTACATGATTCACATCGCACGCTAAACGTTATCATGACAGTCTCTGCGATATAAAAATCTGGCCACCTTAATCTTGACGCTTTGGCTCAGTTATAGCAAATTGCTAATAGTTTGAACAACACATGATGGGAAATGAACATTGCTCGATTGAGAAGCTTGCTGAAACCGTTGTAGTGGGCGATTTGACTCACGTAGAGTTTTGAGTTTCTTATGAGCGGGCAGTTCAAATTCCTCGTAACCAATGTGAAATAAAAACGTTAATATCTTCGTTAGGAGTTGGTTTCCGTAATTTTCGCTGTGTGAATCGTTTTCCACGTGAAATTCTGGTTAAGAAACATGTATCAGATCGCTTAAATTCGTACCTTGTCTAGTGGTCCATTGCTGATGTGGATTGGTTTCTTTCTGTTTTACGCTGTCCAATTTTGGTTTGATAAACCGAATTCGTTGGGATGACATGGAAATCCCAACCGAACTATACAACCGAACTTTTTTTCAGTGAGCCTCAATGAATTTCACTTTGCCTCATTGTTGCTCATGCTTTATTTTAACAGCGGTTCGGCTCATCGCTGAGTTCCGACCGTGCTGACAAGTCTGTGTGCGGGCTGATTGTTGACATTAATAGACACAGCTATAGACAAAGAAGGCAAAAGGGGTATGAAGGGATCCTATTGGTGGACCAAGGTGGTTGCAAAGGAGGTAGGTAACGGCAGTAAGTTGGAAATGTAACCAACGTGCGTTAAAATCCAGAAAACTAGAAATCTGAATACAGAGGGAACAGCTCATTCGAGCTCAATTTTCCCTCGAAAAAATATGCTGTTTGGTTCACCACTAGCAAGAATCGAATCTGGCAAAGATGAGCGCATAAATCCAGAGGATTAAGGAAGTTGCCAAAGACTTTGTGAATAATACGATGTGAATGATCCCTGCACGCCTTGTCGAAGTCCCGATCGGGTCAGTTTAATAGTTCCGTGTTCGAGCGATGGATACTGTGTGTCAAGTGTCCCAAAAATGGACTCATGTTTTCCAGAAACGATACTTGAAGTACGTCGAGTATGAAGTCATGCGTTTGAAGGAAGGCAGTGATTTCCAACCACGTTCGACCAGTAAGTAAAATTAATAATATACTACAAACTATTAATGATGAAGAATATTCTATATTCTATAAATTATTAAAATGTGATTATAATTGTCCCAGTCTCATACTCATCATATGTAAAGTACGATTTTTGAATAGGAATCTTCACATGGAAATACCCCTCCCTTGGTTAATAATCGATATATTAATTGACGGATGGTAGACATCGGGATGAAGTATGGTTTTTTCCTGATAGGTATTCGAAGCGGCATGCATTAAAGTAAAATCTATACGCTATCATGATTTTTAATTAAAATTTATTTCTGCAGCATTACAATAGTGATAAAATTTGCACGGGAATCCCTCACAAATCATATCAAGATTAATACTTGTCTTCTGCACGTATTTCCCTACTTTTCATGATTAAAATGCTGTATTTTCAGATGTAGTAACAACAGTATCTGAGTCAAACTGACCGTCGATTTCACAGAGACTGGCCGAAATTAAACCCGATTTTTGTCATGCATCAATCGGAAGCCAACCAGAAATGGATGGTTTCAGTTACATATGTCGCAGCAATTAACAATTGCTGGCAATTTGCAAGCGGCTTGCTTGTTATGTCTATGAATCACAAAAATACACATCGACATTGTGACGGTTTTATTGATAATGGCCTACAATAGCACGCTCTCGGGTCAAAACGCCTTCATTTTGCCGTGATACCCTACGCTTTGACGCAAAGTTAGTTTAGTTGCCTGTTCGACCCGAACCCATCAAAGGCCACAGATTTCACTTCGCTCTCTCACACGTCACGAGAGTACCCTCTATACCACCAGGCGTTTACGAAAGAAAAGTGTTTATTCCAATTCGAGGAAAAGTTATCACTTCTCTAATCTCATTCTGAATTTTATGATGTTCTATTGATCACTAGTCGCT